TCAACGGCCCGACACCAGGGCCAGGGCCAGGCGAGTGCCTGTGTCACTCTCCCACGTGCCTTAAACGGCAAGGGTCCATAGCCGGAGCGGTCGCTGATGACGATGCGGCCTCAAAAGATGGTAACTCTTAAACTTCACGCGGCCACGTAGCACTGACAATGCGATCTAGCACAGAATTGCACGGGGCCTGTGGTGGCCCCAGGCTCGGGGACCTTCATGATAAGTCCTGGCAAGACATCACACTCCGTGTCGGAGGCTTGCGGATGCTTGAATCTGCACCTGCGCGGCAATAGGCGCTCCAAGTCTCTGCGGCAGGCCGAACCCTATATGAACCAAGACTACGCGGTCCTGACGACTGGACATAGTGCGGCGCAGTGTCGTCGGGACGAGTCAGCTGAACGCCGATCTGGAAGCAGGGGCTTTCGTGAAGTGGCAGAGACAACATGAGCAGAGAAATCTTCACAGCTACGACACGCAGAAACAGGGACCCAGTCTGGACTCCAGGCAGTTCCTAGACCTGGCTTGCGCTTCTGCTAAAGCTGCAGTGTAAACTTCAAGGCCTCTTCTGGCTCATAACCCTGAGGGTCCATATGCTCATATAGTATATACATTGGCCTTAATGTAGTCCCTATATAGGTACTTTAGGGCCCATGTATATGCTATATGAGCACATGGACCCTTAGGGTATGGAACGAGTTGCAGAACACTCGTGGAACAGCAGGATTGCTCTCGAGATTCTTCCCTAAACCCTAAACCCTAAAGCCCTAAAGCCTAAACCCTAAACCCTAAACTGAGCTTCCAGCACGTGTGGCAAAGAAGCCCTGCATGGGGAGGGTCAAGCCGCTGATCTGACAGGCACAGCGAAAGCAGGGCTTGGTGTACCGACTCTCATGTGGGGGTTTCCGAAATTCAGGGGTACCTTATTCTGAAGTCCCTATAATAAGGATCCTGCGAATTAAGGTACTATATTCGGGTCCCCTATTTTAAGAAACCCCATGTGCTCTTCCATCTCGGAGCTGGTGCTCTCTCTTCCTCTCTTCCCATGCTTCTGATCGCGAGTGCTGGAAGCTGCCGGCTAGTGCCAAACGGAAGAAGCCGACCAGCCTTGATGGTGTGGGTGGTCGTCTCGTCGATGCTGCTCATCTCTGTGGGAAGGGTGATCTTCACGATGTTCCTGACATGGGGGTTTCCGAAAATAAGGGGTACCTTAATATTGGGGTCCTTATAATAAGGATCCTACTATTTGAGGTACTAGATTAGGGTCCCCTATTTTCGGAAACCCCCACATGACGTCCGGGCAGTTCTAACAATTCAGGCCTTTGGCTTCGGGATATTTGAAACACCCTCCCATGTCCCTCAAGCAGAATGCAGCCGTCTCAAGAACACCCCCAAAGAAACCCTACGGCCGTATACGAAAAGCTCAAAACTCCGTCTCCAGGCTGTGGCATCACTCACACCGCACTGGGCTTCATCTGCCTGCGGCCGCTACCAACAACCACCTCTTCTGAGTCGCAGCCGACAAGGCCATTGCCTTTGGGATGTCGGGATCCAGCAGTTTCGGTTTAAGGTCGGGGAGCTTCGAGTTCTGAGCTTGCCCGAAAACGAGCAAATTGGCCGTGGCACACGTGGGATGGGTGCCGGCTTTGGGAGTCTTGGGATTTCGCTTCGGCTTGCGTCGGCGGCAACTTTCACGAGAGCTCCAGTGATTCCAGTGCACAACACTTGCGGTGCAATCTCAGGCACGTGCATTCCGAGTAAACGAATCTGTTAAAAAGTCTGTCTGGCTTCAGTTTGGGGCTGTGCAAACCTGGCACTATCGAAGGGTCAGGGGTGCTAAGTTGGTAAGGCGGCTAGATGACTTCTCAGTTTCTCGAAGCGATATTTCACTCTTTGTACAGTTTTTGTTCGACATGTTTGCTTCGTTGAATGGCCGTGCTGTCGACGAAACAGTGAGTGCATGCGATAGGCTAAGTATAATCTTCCACTTGGTTTTGTTTTGCAGTTCAATCTGGACCAGCCGTGACTTCAATGTCATGAAAAGACACTACGGCAATCGAGCACGACGTCGCAAGTGCATACACATGGATGGTTGGACGGACATGGATGGACGGACGGACGGACGGACGGACGGAGGGATGCATGGATGGATGGGTGCGTACATGTATGGATCCTTGCTATATGCATATTCATACAATGTTCTACGTATGTGCATGCGCATGTAGATGTGTGACTGCGCATGTGTGCATACGGGCATGTGTGAGTTGGTGGCTGTGAGTCTGCGAGTGTATGTATGTGTGAGAGAATGCACGTATGTAGGTCTGTAGGTATGTATAAATCTATGCAATCATATATACAGATATACATACACATTATCAATACCTTTGTGCATATGCATACCTCTATGTATGGAACGAGAGAGAGAGAGAGAGAGAGAGAGAGAGAGTATGAGCCGAAAACTTATGTGCAAATTCATTCTCATTTTCCATGAAGCACGGGTTGTGGGCATCACATCTACGACCTACATTTGAGACGGGCCTTTCACAAGCGAGAAGAGAACGTGTCACTCGCAGCTGGAGATTGTCTGCGTTCTGGGCGTCGTCATAAGTCTTCGCCTCCGACACAGTCAGTCCACGCGTCTTGGCCACGTTCCGGGCGTTTCAACTTCGCAACGGTGTGTAGATGGGTCCCATTGCCGGAATCAACAGTTAGGGCCCAGCCCTCCGAAACCCGCAGCAGGGCATCCGATCTTGGCCGAAGCATCGTCTGCGCAGGAGCATTCTGAAAGCACGGACACAAGGTGTAACGGACAGACCTGGGACTAGATCTTTTCTAGGATGACAGCATGCACAGGTGGAATGTCGAAGAGGTGCCTCACGTGAAGCTCAGAGCCCCCAGCAAAACTCTCCTGTACCATCTGGAGCCCACGAGCTTCTACCTCGGGCTGCCGATCCTGGTACCCGACAAGAAGTGAGCGCAGCGTCCCAAAGCGGCCACAAACTTCTCTGATCACCTCGGACAAAGGCTCCAGAGCATCTTGGTTGTAAAGAGCATCAAATACCACCAAGGTGTCTAATTCCAAACGGGCCGTGGCACAGACGTCACGAATCATGGTGAGGTCTTCCACTGCATGCTCGTCCCAGCGTAGCTGGGCACTGTGCAAGACATCATGAGTCTCGCCCAAAGCCGCTATGTTCTCACGAAGCATGAGGTTAGTTCGCAGAAGGTCTAGCCCATCGCCGACATCGGTGGCGACAACTCCTGTGGCATGATGAGCAGCCAAAAACATAGCTAACACTCCAGTACCACTTCCCAGCTCCAACACGCCCTTGCCGGAAGCATTCCAAAGAGCTCTGTCAGCGAGAGACTGATACTCTCGCATGAACACTTCAGTGACAGGCCAGACGGTGCCAGCGGTACCATCAAGCTCCATAAACCTTTGCAGGACACGAAGCCGCTCGTGTCCATGCAGCGCAAAGGCGCGCTCTCTGCGCATGAAGGCATCCTCATAGGAGAAGCCAGGGAGACATGCGCTGATGTCCGGACGTGGTGGCTCTTCGGTGTCCTTGTCGCTTCCAGACGTCTGTGACGTGCGATCCTGCGCTTCTGCAGGATGCCCCGCTGAGCTTTGAGGCTCTATTTCGTGGGCATGATCGAACTCCATACACCCAGGGACACCTAGGGACCTAGGCCAGTAGTTGATGCTTTGAGCCTGTGTCAGGCTGACTGGTGCGCCACGAATTGCACGCAGACGCATCTGCCGACGGCAAGCCTTAAGCTAAAAGCTAGCCCTGCATGCGAGTGATGCTATCACACATGCAGACGAGCTTGTCATCCTAGGTTGGAAGAATAGGAGCAGAACCAACCCTAAACCCCAAACCCGAAATACCTAACCTCATTAATACTTTTCGTGACTCAGCTCCGACGTTAGAACCTAGAAATTGACAGGGTGCACGCGAGACATAATCACAAAAGATTTGCAGCTAAGGGTTTCGGGCAGAAGCAAGATTGGCAAGCATTCTGGAAATGCACGAAAGTAGTTACAAATTGCCTCCGCTGTACTGGTAAAGACACTCACGAGCATCAGCAACCTTCGGAAGAAACATGGCTCTGAAACAAGAAGGAAGCTTTTCACATTGAGCTCCAGTCTCCAGTGTAGTGCATGCGTGGTTTAGCCAGTTTTATATTCAGGATCCTATACTGTAGCCCAGAAAAGGAACTGCAGTGGAGACTGTCGGTGCCACCGCCACTTAACAAGTCGTGACACAGAAGCAACAAGTGTCCATTCTCGGCCACCGGCACTCAGGTGGGGCGGCATAGTACGGGACGCACTCCGCCACGCAGGAAGCAGTACCTTATGCTCCCAGCCGGTGTTTTGCATCTTCTTCGTCTTCTCATTCGTCTTATTGGTCATCTTCTTATTGTTATTCTCCCTTTGCGAAGGCAGCTTATGTTCTTGTTATTCTCGTAAATAGGACTGAGGCATCAACCAACGTCCCAAGCCGTCAGCGGCCACATGTACATCCGGATGAAGGACTGGCAAGACACCAGAAATTCGGAGAACACGGCAGTAGTCAGGATCCGTGCAGTGCTGCTTTTGTGCTCATCTCCGCTTATGACTTTCGCTGGAGCTATTGAATAAACGGACTGCATGACACATCGACGTGTTTTGGACCTCTGAAAGCCCTTACAGTATATACCAGCATCGAAGAAATCTCGAACGGGCATTGCTTTGAGAAGCCTCCTTGACGATGGCGCGTACTCCACTCTGGCCCTTGAGCTGGATCTGCCCAGGGACAACGCCAGAAGTGACTGAAGAACAGGACATGACCCTAAGGGTCCATGTACTCAGATAGCATATACATGGGCCTAAAGGTACCTACATAGGGATCACATTAAGGCCAATGTATATACTATATGAGCACATGGACCCTTAGGGTGAGAGCACTGGACATATGTAGCGTTGAGCGCAACATGGTGGAAAGGACGAAAACAGCCCAGCGTCAGTCCTGCAAAATGTTCAGGTTCGACAGGTTGAGCACCTCGGAGACTTGCCAACGCTCGAAAGACTTAGACTCACTTAGAGACTTAGAGGTGTAGTGGTTCGGGCTTGCGGCCTTAGGGCTTACTTACGATTCAGGGCTCAGCTCTTGGGGTTGAGGCTTTTAGCGGGGACGGCGCGACAGCACATCTGCAGCATCCAAGGGAGGAGCCCCATCCAGAGGATCGCCGCGCTGGATCAAGAAGCCATCCTGAAACACAGCTCAAGAAGCTGGAGTACCCTAACCGGCTCTAGTACCCTATATAGTAGGTTCCTGGGGGGTTAGGGGTAAGGACTGCAAGAAGCAGCTTCATGACCTGCTGTCAGCAAGAACGCCATGCTGCAGTCATAGTAAGGACGGCGTAGGCACTTTGGCCCTGAAGCTTCTTGGAATTACCTTGCTGATGTTCCCTCTTCTGACCTAACTCTTTGGGGCTTAGGGTTCAGGGTTCAGGGTTTAGGGTTTAACTTCATTGAGGCAGGACCCCTCAACGCAATACAAAGGCAAGCAGACAGAGGCGTTGCAGAATCCAGCAGAAACACTTGAAGCAGTGCTTTCAGTGGCGGCAGATTTCGCGTAATTACTTCATTCGACGCCCTGAACGCTTCTGGCATATTTCCGTGGAAGCCTTTTCTCAAGCATCAACAGTCCACCTTCTCACACGGCTGCTGTCAGCACGGAAGCCCAAGATCTCGAAGCAAGGTCAGACAGAAACAGAAAGAGCAACACCAAAAACCTGACTGCTGACACATGAGGCCTGCGACGCCCCTGAAACCTCAAACCGCCTTGGCCTGAAATCTTCTGAGGCCCTAGGACTCAAGTCACGAGTAAACCGCCTAGCAAAATCCAGAAGCCGAAATGCTGCGACTCGCCTTTCAGATTGGCATTCACACACAAGAGCCTCATTAATGACAGATCTTGACCGCTGTACCAGCCTACACCCGTATGGCCGTACGAGAAATTGGCATTGAGGCTGATCTACGACGTTCGATTTCCAAACTCCGACAGGTACTCAATCCGAATTTAGTTAAGTTTCGGATCGTACAGCCCCAAAGATCCAAAGCTCATTCATATAGTTGGAGGCGACACCCGGAAACCCCAAACCCAACAAATCTCATCACCGAACCCCAACACCCCAAACCAAGACCCCTAAACCCTGAACCCTCATCCGCTTGAGATCCCCGGCCGTCAGTGAAAACTGTGGCTCCGCAGCCGTAGCTCCGATCTCCGTAGCGCGCGAGGCCTCGACAGAGAGGGTCTCCGGATTTACCTACCCCTAACCCCCCAGGTACCTACTATATAGGGCCTTAGGGGCTTTAGTACCCTATATAGTAGGCAACTGGGGGGTTAGGGTACAGTCTTCATTGCAGTTCCTTTTTGGCTTAAGCAATTTTTCTAGTTAGGATTGAGGATCCTCCATCTACCTATAGTCTCCATTGTAGTTCCTTTTTGGGGATGCCTTATAAAATCCTTAGTATATCATATTTAAAAAAGGAACTACAATGGAGACTATAAGTAGTTAGTAAGGCAAAGAGGGAACCACAGCAGGGCCCTGGAGCTTGGGGCCGGCTTTGGAGCTTTTGGGGATCCTGGGGTTTAGGGCTCCTGGGGCTCAGAGTTAAGGGCCGTAATTACTCTTTTGGGTTTAGGGTTTAGGGTTTGGGTTTTGGGTTTTGGGGGACCAACAAAAAGGGGGACGCTGATTTAGAGAACCACCCATATTTGGTGCTCGTGGTCTTCGCTGATACACACCTAGCTCCTCGGCATAGTCTTGTTGTCTGGTGTTGTAAAAAAAGTCATGCGTTTGTAGTAGGTCACAGTCAGAGGTGTACTACAGCTTCGGCTTTGCAGCCTTATTCGGACTTTGACAGTACGAAGCGGGAGATTTGACACTTCAGGGATTTGCGGCTGAGAAGCGATGAGGCCTGCCTTCTGCCTGCAATTCACATTCGATATCGCTTGCAGTTCGACTGTACATGGGGGTTGGGGAAAACCGTGTCCTTCAAGGGGACATGGAACCTGAAGCCCCGGCAACACAGGATGTAGCTAGGGTTTCGGTTGGGCACGATGAGGGAAACCCCCGAGCACACGGCTGTGGCTGTGCCCTTCTCGAAGACCTGGTAGGGCCTGGCATCTAGCTGCTGTTGAAGCCCCCCTAAACCCAAAACCCAGAATTCTACAAACGCAAAACCCCAAACCCTAAACCTTAAACCTCCACGTATATCGAAGGCTTGAGACTGTAGGCTTTCAAATCTTGAGTCGAACGAACGGGCAGCTGGCATTGTAGTTCAGTGCTTCGGCCATTCAGGTAGTACGCGTCGTAGTCGTAGCAGTAGCAGTAGAAATAGCAAGATCGGGAGCATGAGCAGGAGCTGGAGCAGCAACAGCAGCAGCACAAGCAGCAGCAGCAGCAGCACTCTACTACTACTACGACGACAACGACGACGACGACGACTACGACTACGACTACGACTACGACTACGACTACGACTACGACTACGACTACGACTACGACTACGAGTACCACTACGACTACGACTACGACTACGACTACGACTACGACTAC